AGAAATATGAAAACATGATGAAATTAGCTATTTTTAGGACTTAAACAGAATGAAAAAACAATTCACAAAATAGAGACATAAGTGAGAAAAAAAATAAAAAGACACAATTAAATTTTTCTAGGATCCCATAAAGCATCAAATGGGAAAGCCTAATATTGGTTGGATATGAGAAGTGGGAAGGCAGCCCCCAGGCGGAAGTGTGCCTGGTCCATCACGATGGTGCTGGACACACACTCTGGGCCCCAGCAGAGAGGCTCCTGGACCTGAGCATCTACGGCATCTTCTCTGATCGGCTTCTAGGGCACTAAAGAATGTGCTTGTGGCATTTACAACAGCAACACAGCTGGACAAGCCTGCTGTCCCAGTGCTGTGGAAAGGGACGTGAGTTGTCACCAAGACAGACTCCTGTGGGGAGTTACAGGTACACTGATGGAAGTAAACCTGCAAAATAATGTTGGGCAGAGTAATGAACACACAGGCTGAGCGCTCTCCCACACACCCACGTGGGCACACTACACACGGATGCACATGGGCTGGATGTGGGGCGCAGGGGGAGAGCACACGGCTGGCACCCGTCAGTCTCTGGGGTCTGCAGACAGCAGGAACACTGCCCACGAAGCCACGGTGCAGAACCCAGTCATGATGAGCAGGATTATGAGGGTCGAAAAAAGACACATGTGCAAGAAGAGCACTAGTGACAGGGCTGATATTTCATTCTTGTAAGGGCTGTCCTGTGAGTCATGGGAGACTGATCACCATCCCTGATTTCTACCCATGCTGTAACCCTCACTTAGGACCCACACCTTGAATACAACAGAGCAGATGTTTTCTGATGTGCACAATCAGCACTCCTGAAAACCACCCAGTTGGCAGGCACAGTGTACACACAAGCTCTGAATAACAAGATACCCAAAATGGGCAAAGACCATAAGAACTGCCACGTTTCTCTGTGCCCAAGGCAAAGCATTCTGGGAGAGGAACTGCGGACACAGCTATAAGCAATCCAGGATAGAAAGGCAGATTTCGGTCCAAGTTTAAAGCAGTCGGAAGGCTTCTCAAAATCAGCATAAATCAGAGGTAGGAATCAAGTGTTTTCCATCTAACATTCCACATGCTTGTGGTCTTGTGTTAAACTTTTCAGCTCAGTATCTTTACCGGAATGTTCTACTCATTCTTCTTTTATTCTTTCTTTGTGCTTTTTTTGTTGTTGTTTTGGTTTTTTTGTCTTTTTGAGACTCAGTTTCACGATGGAGTTTACGCTGGACTTACGCTTTACCTTGTAGGCCAGGCTGGCCCCAACTTCACACCAAGCTTTCTGCCTCAGCCTCCCCAGTTCTGGCATTACAGGTATGTGCCACCATGCCCAGATTTACTCCCTTTCAGTGGTGACATAAGAATACGACTAATTTAGGGGACCTCACTGTAGTACCAAATAGAACAAAGTAAAGCAAATCAAAACTCCAAGTGAAAACTCCACAGACCACTGTTCCTGTTCCCAAACTCACACCCTTCTCGTGCCTTGCTGGCTTTGTAGAAAATGAGTGAGATAGCATTCAAAAGAGGAAATGATCCTATGAATGCACTGTTCTAAATGGACTCCATACAGAGTTGAACTAATGAGTCCACAGATACTGAGTTAGAAAACAATACTGCGATCAACCCAAAGAAAGGTGAAAATAAAATGTATTGAAAATGCACACAATATCCCTGATTAATCAAACATCACTGTCAAACCTTTAAACCTGCTCAACACATACTCCTTCATTTTTATTTAGGAATATTTATGTAACAGAGACAAATACAAGATAAAATATCATATAGCTTATGTACAGTATGGAGTACAGTGCAGTGTAATCCCTGGCTGTTCACCTAAGCAGCTAGATTCATGGTGTGCACCACCAGGCCTCACTGATGTTCACTCTCCTGGCACTGAAATCTCAGGAAATCACTGGGATTAAAGAATCGTAACCTTAAAACAGGTAAATGTCACACGTCTGTCTTCCTAGCAGTGAGGGAGGGGGACACAGTATCAAAAGTCCCCCCCACAGCCTGGGAAACTGAGTAAGACCAGGTCTCAAAAGTTAAAAGATATGGGGCCTGTGTAGCTCAAAGCAAATTCCTGCATTCAGTCCCCAATAAAATCTTCAAACACACCTTGTAATCTTTGTATTCAAGAGAAACCCCTTTCCATTGTAGTTCAACGGTGATGCCCACCCTATTACTAAATCTACAAGTCCAGTTTAATAACTTCAATTTTGCCTCATAAATAATGTCGTGAACTGATCAGGAATAAGAGACGACACAGTCACAGTATTGGTCACAAGGTTCCCCTGCTTTCTTTAGGCTCTGACCTCTGAGCCTCTCAAGGCAGGGCAGCACAAAGTCCAATTATTATCACAATGAGGACAATCCGATCTCAGGAGAAGGTCACTGCTGCCACTGCTGATGTCACCTCCCTCATCCAAACTCTGGTCCCTCATTGCCTTTTTCCTCCCCTTGGCTCCTCCATATTAAATGGCTCCTCCATTTATTCCTATTATTATTAGGCCTGTAGGTACTCAGTCTAGGGATTTTCCTCTGTTTCGGTGCTTGTTTTATACACAGCACCTCTTACTCAACATTTCAATTTTAAATCAGTGTGCACAAGGATGACAGCAATGATTTCAGTGATGACAGCCCTTGTCCTCCCTCCACGGCCAGTGTCACATGTCCCTGTCCACACAGATGCCTCAGTTCAAGGTGTTTCTCAGTTTGGGTTTAACATGCAGCACTTTCAGAAAGTCGTCCTTAGCAAGAACTCTCTCCTTTCTTAATATTGCACAGGATTTCCCTGGTGTCACAAAGGGGACAAAAGAAAAAAAACTTTCAAAAGTTTCTTGAAGAGATGAATTTTGCTTTAGCAGCAGACAGCACAAACTGCAAATTACTAGGAGGCAAGCTGCACAAGCCATCCTTCCTCCCTGGTGCACACTGTCATCACAGCTTGGAGAAAGCAGACCTCATTATCTAACCAACTGGTTACACTAATGAGGTCATGGCTCCTGGGCAGAGCAAATTCTGCCACGTTGAAAGCCCTCTACTGCAAAATTTTCTTTCAATATTTGCAGGAATAGTCAATAAAGCACATGCACATTTTATTTTTAAAAATGGCTTTGCAAAAATAACAATGTTTATAAAATTGAGTTATTTGCTTTGGCACAAAAGACTATCTCTTTCCTCACTAGTAATGCATTAATATCCCAACCATCTTCCTCAGAGTTCTAAACTCTCTGGAAGGCCTTGTTTAAAGAGTCTGATTGTGAAGGATAGTTTGTTTTGTAATCTTATGAAGGCTGCACATAGCTATGGTAAATGGCCTGGGGTAGAGTTGTGTAATCAGCTATACAGATAACAATTAAAATAACAGGAAGCCAAATACAGATAGAATATCAAGATTCAACTTCCTCAAGAAAGGGAATGCAGCCTTCCCCTACTGCAAGGAGTTGCAGCCACTTTTTACCAAGCTCCCCAGTTCCAGGAAACTCAAAATACCTACCTTTTCTCTAAAATTCCAGTTTCCTTTAAATCTTACACAGTAAAAACACTGGTTTGAGCACCTGAGTTTCAATGGTGATTTTCAATACAGTCACCTGAGAGAGACAGACATTAAATAACTGAGCAATTACCATGCTCTGGTTATCTCTAATTAGCTCTGGATTGATCAACCACCTGGCCACCAACTCAAGATGCTTCAAACAGACAGCTTTGTTCATAATTTCAATGAAAACTCTCCTAATGTATGGACAGCTAATACCAATAGGTGGGGTTAGAGAACATACTGAGCCCGCTAACAAGTAGAGATACAGCCTCTGTGTCACAGCAAACAGTCATACTGATGGAATGCCATTTCACACTTGTATCTGTGTAGCTACAGCTTGCTCCTTTAAGCTCCCTTTCAGCAAGGTCACTTCCCCAAAATGAGTTACTAAGCTAGTGGCTGGACAATTCCCTGTAGCCCACCAAACACAGCGCTCTACCAACACGTCCAATAACCAATCATACAGTGTCCATTGCAGGGGATTCAGATGATGCCCTCACCCTATAGCACAAGACACCATCCACAATTCGTTGCTAACTCAACTCTAGTGTTCCCATTTCTCTCCCAGAGTGGCTTTCGACCATTTCTCGCAATACCCTCAATAGTTTTCCTTGGCGCTGGTCTTCCCTGACTGCTTTTTCTCTTTCTATGTCAGACAGCTTACAAGCCCAGCAAAGTTGAGTCTGGAGACCCAGACACATGGGCACCAGAGGTAACATCAACAGCCTTTCTCAGGTTCAGCACTTCACTCTAGTGTAGAAACGATATAATTCTGTTTTATAGCATTGTCCATACGGATCTCACATAAATAACTACGGTGATAGTTTTTTGTATTGCTAAGTGTGCCACTCAGGAGTTCACTGCACTTATGGGAAACCTGTATACCAAGTCACGTCACCGGTATGTTTAAACTTGTTTTGCATTCTCGTTGCCCTTCTCAACATATTATGAGGTTGGCAATGTGGAGAAATATTAGAAACTCAGGAAGCCACTGTGAATACAAAAAGGCAGAGGTCTGAGGAGAGGAGGTGTGGATCTGAGACCCTCACGCAGCCATTTATAACCGTCACATCCCCAGCTCTGCTACTGAAAGCACCGAGACCAGGGACCCAGCGCCCGCAGCCGCACCAGCTCCAGGCCACCCTGAACCAGGGCCGCCCCGAGCCCCGCTCTCCCCACACCGCTGAGGCGCTGCCGGGCCACACCGGACGGCACCGTGGGCGGGCAGTGTCACGGTGGGGACGGACTCACGGACACGGCGGTGACCCGGACCCCGCCGAGGGAAAAGTGGCAAAAGCCCCAGAGCCCGGAGGACCTCGGGGTCCGGAGCTCGGCGGGAGGCTGCGGCTCCCAGAGCCGGTTCCGGCCGCCTCCTCTCAGACCTCAGCCCGACCCCATCCCTTCCCCGGCTTCCGTCCCGCACCATCACCACTGCGCGGCTTCCCGGTGTCCCCGAGTCCTTCCCACGCGGCCTGCAGCCGGCAGAACTCCCAGAAGCTGGTCTAGCGAAATGAGGAACTCTCAGCACTGACAGCCATGACACCGGAAGTCCTTGCCACTTTGCCTCACTTGATTGGACAGTTCGTGCAGCCCGCCTCTTCACTGATTGGCTCCTGATCTACTGCCCTCCTCTGTTCAGAATGAGGAGAACCTAAATACCTGCCTGTCTGGTTAGAGCTCAAATGATAGATTCTCACCCAGGAGCTTTTCGGTAAGGCTGTTTCTTCTGATGTCTATCTCACCTAGCTTAACACAATTGCATTTACAGTGTACACGTGTCTTGCTTCAGCTACCAGTGTTTGGTTAATAGACTTAATGTGCTCTTAATAAAGTGCGGTCACTAGTGTGCTAAGAAGATTCCTATGGTGAGGGTCCTATGGAAGAATCAATTCCCTGATGTAAGACAGCGTCATGAGTGCAGGACAGGTCAGGATTGAATGGAGTAGAGGCAGGGTTGGCTGATTCGCAGGTCAATATTTGACTGTGATGATTTCCACACTGTCTCAATCCACTTTCATTGAAGAAAATTAGTATAGGCCTGCAAAATGAATACATTTATTATGTAGATGAAGAAACAATAGTTATGTTAGACCGGTGTCGCGAGGAAGACTCTAAGGGCCTCGCTCTCATGTAAAAACAATGGGGTTTTTATTATTCCGTGTACACGGGGTCCTCCAAACAGGTGGAAACGGAGAACCCTGAGTTGGGGCAAGGCTGGTGTTTTTAAGGATGAAAACCGCAAAGCAAGCAAGCATTGTTACAGAAGCCAATCATAGCAGTTAGAGCAGAACAGTTGGTGATTTGTCCATTTGTGATTGGTCAGATCATGAGGGGCGACCAGTGGGTCAGAGTTGATTAACTGTCTTGTTTTGCACAGCTTATTTTTAGGTCACCTAGCTCCTGTGTGGCTTGGTTCTGACATACTTCCCAATCTTGATTAGCATAGTCAGCAGACTTTATCTCTGAGTTTCCTGACATAATTACCTTACTTTAGCACCACAACCTTTCTATTTGTAGAGGGCAACAATGGTTAACATATCAATTGGGTAAGATTTTACAATTCTTTACAGAAGAGAGCATTGATTAACATATCAATCTTTTACCCAGGGGAAAAGGAAGACACACATTTATAGTTACAGGTATTACTATGATATAAACGAAGCTATTTCTGTGAAGAATGTACAATCTAATACAATCTGATGCAATTAACACAATTTGTGACGGGGCTACCGGATAGGGAAGACCCAGGATGTCAGGAGCTAGTACCTCAGGCCTTTGTTTTATGGCCTTTAGGAAGTTAAAACTTAACCTAGTTGGATTTGAAGGGAGAAGGGGAGGGGAAGCAGCAGATGGAACGAGCTTTCTTCGTCTCTTCAGTTAAATGATAGCAATATTCTGCAAAAGATTAAAGATAAAAGGAAAGCAAATGTTCCAATTCCCTTAAACAAGTTTCATACCTCATCCAGAGTTATGACAATCCCAGAATATTGAGGCTAAGCATATTGCCAGGCATGAGGACAACAGTGCTGAAAGGGACCCAAGTCTTGGTCCAGTGGGTCACTTCTCGGTGAAGACCTCAGACTGTAGCTTTGCATGCCCACTACTTTCCTCTTCGAATATTGAATTCCTCCACATTTCATCACTAGTTTTCCTAGAAGAAATTACTGTGTGCCAATAGTATGATACTTTTGTTATAATTGAATTGACCTGAGTGATGTACAGGATACTTGTAAAGCACACTTCTAGATGTCTGGGGAAGTCATGTTAATGTCACCTGATGGACAAATCCGTCTGCTGGACCCTTTGGGGCTAAATCCCTGCTATCTGTTTTCGGGATCTTATACACTAGTTACATTTTTCTTCACTTATATTTGCTATGATGTTTCTTCATGGGAAGATATGAAACTGACACTGCAATCTTTGACACAATAAGATATTTCTTGTTTTTTCCTTTGTGGCCCTGGAGATCAAAGGCAAGGCCTTTTCTATGCTAGGTAAGTGCTTTTCCACTGAGCCAGCCACACAGCCCCAACTCTACAACTGCATTATTTTTTGTTAAGGTTTGCCAGTATTTTGATAGTGGTGTTTAGTGCATGTTCTCAAAAAGAGTGTCTCATTATATAGTCCAGGCAAGCCTCAAACAAACTCTTCTCCTCCTACAATCTGTTGGAAATAAATTCCCAGACTCAGTTTTTTGATGTGAATGATGAGACACCCAGACATCAAGGAAACTTGACAAGGCTTTTACTTTTGCTAAAGGGTGGAAGCAGACCCTAGCAATAACATAGCAGATGTACAGACTCGCTGGAGAAACAGGAGTTCTGAGGCCTCGTGTATGACAAGTGGATAACTTTAAATTCATTGGCTAAGTTCAAAGGCTTGCAATCTATTGTACTGATAACTCAGTGGTACAAGAGAATGGGTACAAGAGAATGCTGGGTCAGTTAGAAACAGGACAATAGTTTGGAAGGGAAAGTTCTCAGGTTTTAATCTCAGAAACTGGTGCATTCTGGGGAAAAGGACACAGTCACATGCCAGTAGACACTTGAACAACAGTGTACTTGATAAACCCAGATGCCAACGTTAAGGGTATTTCCCCATCTGAGCCTCTTCTTCCAAGCCCTCTGTCAATCTAAATCTATTTACTGAGAGACAGTAAGCTCTTTGAAAAGGGCCCCATTTTTCCCAGCAGCTCTCTCAGTTCATGCCTAGAGATTAGCAGATAAGTAGATGAATTTGTTAACTGCCCACATTTGGGACCTGTATTATTATTGTGTGGCTTAAGGTTGCTAACTCTTCAAGGACAGGATTGGGTCAGGGTTCCTTGCTTGGATCAGGCACAGCATGATGTCCAAAGGGACAGGCTATCAATGCTTGTTGCCATTGATGTGACTGTGAGGGAGGCAGACAGGCACCTCTTGCTCTTAATTCCTTTCCTGTGTCTGTGAATCCTGAGTGAAAAGAAAGCCATAATGCTGCCTTTGCTCACTCCAATTGAAGGCCCATTTACTGGTGCCAGATGTGGCTGCTATCGACCTGGAACACAATGGACTCTACTGAAAACTGGCATAACAGCTTGAAACAAACTAAGAATAGATTATCTGAACTGAAGGACAGATTTTTAAGGTGGGAGCATGAAATGAAAAACTTCTTAACAATAACAAAGAAACAAACAGCAATAATACAAAGGCTAGAAGATGATAATAGGATCTACAACAGGAATTAAGAACATAAAAGAAGAGGTAGGGACAAAAACAAATGACTTACAAAAGCTATTCACAGAAATAATCCAAGAGAATTTCTCTAATTTAGCAAAAGGTAAAGATATTCAGATGTATGAGGCATACAGGACCCCAGCCACCTACAACCCAAACAGAGCTACACCCAGGCACATAATAATCAAAATTCCACAAATCCAATATAAGAACAAAATATTAAAAGCCACCAGAGACAAGAAACAGATGACTTACAAGGGAACACCCATCAGAATTACAGCAGACTTCTCAGAACAAGCTATCAAATCATGAAGAGCATGGGGGGAAATAATTCAAGCTTTGAAAGATAATAACCTCCAGCCAAGATTGATATATCCTACACAACTATCCCTAGAAATTGATGGAAATACAAGGTGCTTCCAGGATAAAGAGGAACTAGGGGAATTTGCAACCATCAGTTCAACTCTACAGAGAATACTACAGGATATTCTAAAACAGAAAAATACCAAGATTCCAGAAATAGTGGCAGAGAGGCCACAATGAATGAAGCAGAAAGTGAAATGAAGAAGACAAACTTACAACCAGTGACAGAAAAAGAGCTCACCAGAAATGAGGCAGAGAAGGGTGGATGGTAGGAATAGCTATTTTGGAGAAAACAAGACATCATAATAGTTAGTGCTGATTTAATATCATCTTGTTTTGAAGTCCCATCAAACTTTTGTTCTTCTGTCTCCATAGGTCTTAACATGTTGTATCTTACTGGATGTTATTATATGTGTAATATAAACAAAAACTTTTATAGGCAAGGAGATTATACAGAAGCCATTGTTCATTTTCTGTTAGTTGATTCTAAATACTCTGTAATACTGTCATTCTCCTGAACAGTTTTACATTGTTTTGATATGTTTGATGCTACAGTATATTAAGTTATACTCAAAGATTTCAAGGAAAGAGACACTATGGTAATTACTTTTATGTCCAGATTATCTTGTGGTGAAACACTATTTTGCTTAAATGGTTATGTTTTGACCTGCACTGTTTTGATGTTATGCCCTCTTTTATCTCAATCTCCATTTTATTATTTACTTTTTTATTTTTATCCTCTTAATTAAAGGAAAAATAAAAATAGCAGAATATATTATAGTAACCCACTTTAGTTTCCTATTAACTTGATTTGAAATCCTATATTGCTCTCACCATCTTGTTTTGACTGATTTGCCTCTATTCTGTTTTGCTTGATAGTGCCACGTTCAAAAGTATGGGCAATAACTGTGAAGACAATAAGATTCATTATGACGCCCATTCTGGTTGACTATTATCTTGCTTTGAAGGCCTGTAATGTCTGCAGTGCTTTGTTTTTCTTGGTTTTGTTCTTTATTGTTTTGTTCAATTTTATTATAACCGATGATATAGGCAATTCTTTTTAAGATAGCAAGAGGCATCATGGCAACCATTGTTGATCACCTTGTATTATGTTTTTACATTATATATTATGTCCATCCTTTTGATTTGACTGACTCTATTCTGTTATGTCACATTTGGTTTTACTCTCTTCAAAAAAAAGTAATAAGAACCATGGGAATAATAAAACCCAAAATGTGTTATTGTCATTGTATAAAAGGGAGGAAAACAAAGTGTTCTAAACAGTATAACTGCATGTATATTTAAGTGTATAAGATACATAACCATATTACTAAGTTTTGTTGGATCATTGAACAGAAATTTTTATAGTCTCCCTATTTGAATGTCCACTTTATATGCTTTAATTTTGTAACTTGAACAAATATTTCTAAGGTGATAATATGGAATCTATTAACTAGTGATTTCCTACTGTTT